AATACTGTAAATATCTAATTCCCATATGTGCCTTCATAAACTCCTGGTTAATAATAACTTAATAATCACAGCAATGTCATAGTTGAAATACTGTAAATATCTAATTCCCATATGTGCCTTCATAAACTCCTGGTTAATAATAACTTAATAATCACAGCAATGTCATGGTTGAAATACTGTAAATATCTAATTCCCATATGTGCCTTCATAAACTCCTGGTTAATAATAACTTAAAAAATGGAAAGCTGGTGACGAAACAAAAAGCCTTAATAAATAAGTGTGGTAAATACAAATATTATACAAGCTTTAAGTAATCAAATTACAGTGAATGGGGGAGGAGAAATCATCCTAAAATTAATGAATGCTTCTAACATTTTTGGATCATAAAAAAAAATCCTTTTATTTGAGTTATTTGTTATAGTTTGCTTTGTTTGTTTGTAGTTATGCACAAAGCTACACAATGGGTGATCTGTGCTCTGCCCACCACGGGTACTGAAACCCGGTTTCTAGCATTGTAAGTCCACAGACATACCGCTGTGCCACTGGGGGGCAGTTTACTTTGAAACACACAGTTCAAAACATATGAACTTGTGACATTTCTTGCAAGATAGAAGTCTATTTAGCAAGATTTGACCCATTTAGTTGATGACTGATAATACTGAAAAGTTGAGGGTAACATGTTTTCACTAATAAAACATAAAATCCCTTTGTTGCTCTAACTTTAATGTGAAATAAAACTCAAAAATAAATATCAAAGAGCTACCACACTTACAAAATATAAGCTTTTTCTTTTGAAACTTAGCGTATTTTGTGATATAGTGCATATGTATGTACAAAAATAAAACATCTCACATTGGCCTGTATCATCTCAGTGGTAACTATGTCTTTATAATAATCGTACAGTTATTCATGAATGTTTATCAACATTTTACAACCACATCAGTAATGTTGAACTGAATTAGTCCTGAACAAGACATTAGCTGAACTTAACACAAAATATAAGGATTGCAAGGGACATATTGGTCCACCAAGCCATCCCATCCACACAAAATAGCAAAAAAACATTCAAAGCCAGTCCTTATCATTTAAATATTTATCAAGTCTTTCCTTAAACTCTCTTAAATTTATTGCATTCTTTCAGAAAAATGTAACTATATCTTATCATTGTCACCATTAATTACAAAAGAAAAATGATGATGCACCATCAATTCCCTTACAAATCTTAAACACCTCAATCAGATTCCCTGTAGCTTCAAGTTATTTCTGAACTTTTTTTTTATACTTTGAACCATAACTACACTTCAAAATATAAATCTAATTTCTAAAATCATGATCTAGCAGGTATATCTGATTGAAAATATCAGAAAGGAGAACTCTCTAAAAACAGTGTAATTCAGTTACATTACAGTAAAGGCTTATTCTAGAAGCAAAATTTGGGCTTAACTAAAGTTTCACTACAATGATGGCAATTTCTTCAATAAACTATCTGAGAACTAGACAGTTCTTGTAAATAGATGACTTTAGAATATGTTTATTAACTCGGATTGATAACAGTATACTCTTGTATACGGAACATAATAATAACACAGTACAGATCACAAAATGTAATTATAAAGGCCAGTATAACATGAGTAAAAATAAATTAGAAATAATTTTATTTTAGAAAATATTTGTATTGCAGAAAAAAAAAAGATGAATATTTAACATCCCCTAAGCTTTTCATGAGTTCACCCCAGGATTTGTAGTCGGTACCAGTACCGGCGGTACAATTGCAAACCCTGGTTCACCCACATGCAATTCACTAATTTGCTGGGACACAGAATCAATTTCAGTCTTTTCTGCTTCTCTGCTACAGTTATTAGACATCTCATCTTTTTTCAAGTCATCTAAAGATCGAGAACGTGGGATTATAGCACCATCATTGTAACCTTTTACTGGACTCCCAGGATTTGACTTGTTGGCACTTTCACATTCAGGGAGAACTAAGGCTACATTTGTAGGTAAAGTGGTGTCTACTGTCCAGCACTGTCTAAGTGAAGCCTCTAGAGCTGGCCGCCAAGGGAAGTCATATGGTCTATAGAAATGATGACGTCGTAGTCTCACCATTTTCATTCTGAGCGGACAATGGAAAGCAGTTGTAGAGGTAGCTGAATGTACAACTTTGTGATGGGTCTTAAGAACATTAATCTGAACTGTTATTCCATTATCATGTTGAGCAGAAAGCACACTAGCTTGTTCATTGGATGATCCATAACATAGAGATGAGGGCTTTTTATAAAATGAAAAATTGGACATATAGTTTGAGTTGACATAAAGTATATACAATTATAGGTGCAAATCAGAATCCCTTGCATGATATTGTTTTTTCCTGTTTTTGATTCTCAGTAAAAATGCTTAACATCCCTAGCTAATGAAGAGGAACATCAAGATTTAATAGATCCTGGGAATGTGGAGTCCAACGTTTTTGCTAATGGACAACACTAACATGAAACAGCCATAAAGGAATCCCTTGAAACACTGCAAGAAACAAGAAGTCTGAATCATTTATATAAAATAGACTTTATTTAAAAAAGTCTGCTTCAAAAAACATTACTGTGCTGAGAATGAATCAATTGAATTCTTCATTATTGAAATAACCCCAAAATAACAATAATCTAATTGGAAGTTAATATTATTTACACACAGCATGGTTATTCTGGTGTTATGACTTAGTAATCATAACATCTTGCTGTCAAATATTTAGTGTGATATCACAAGTGCAACAGTGTTATAACTACAATTACAACAGTTTTTATGCTCAAATGATGCAATACTTGTAGAGCTGGCCGATTAGTGGAACTCGCTAGATGATTAATTGTTGGTCTGTTACATTCAACTAACTGATTATTTTCATATAAGATTTGAATTGTTGGAACAAATGGAAATACTAATTTCAATTAGTTGACTATTTTCCTCACATTAATTGATTTAAGAATAATTTAGATTACTTTACATGACATTATTGATTATACTGATTACTCAAGTTGATTTCTCAGTTCCAAACAACTGTTTAGTTGTTTGATTAGGGAGTGAGATTTGATTCACATCTACCTAGGTGTAGCCAAGTATGGCTATATGTTTACAATAACTGTACGGTAATTTGGTGTTGTGGTGTCAATTATGATTTCACAATTATAATACTTTGGCATTTCTAGTGTCAATTGATCCCCCACAATTACAACATTTTGGTTGTTCTAGTGTCAAGTGATCCCCCACAATTACAACACTTTGGTTGTTCTAGTGTCAAGTGATACTCCACAATTACAACACTTTGGCTGTTCTAGTGTCAAGTGATACTCCACAATTACAACATTTTGGCTGTTCTGGTGTCAAGTGATACTCCACAATTACAACACTTTGGCTGTTCTAGTGTCAAGTGATACTCCACAATTACAACATCTTGGCTGTTCTGGTGTCAAGTGATACTCCACAATTACAACACTTTGGCTGTTCTAGTGTCAAGTGATACTCCACAATTACAACATTTTGGCTGTTCTGGTGTCAAGTGATACTCCACAAATACAAAAGTTATAATTTTCTTATACTGAAAATGTATTTCCAATAGGTACTTACCTCACTCACATAAATAGCTATTTAGTTCAGTGCTGCCCTATATATGATTTTTTTTGGCACATACCACAAGCTTTCAAACTTCAACTCATCTGGAATTAACTTGCAAATTATCATGCAACAACCCTCCACCAATAAGAGTATGACACATTCTCTTGATGCATGTGACTCCCTCTATTCAATTCTACTGAACTATTACTTTGAGGTTTAGCAGAAAATGGAAGCACTGGTTTTCAGTTAGAAGGAAAGGTGAGAGGAAGTAAATACCTATTGGAAATACATTTTCAGTATAGGAAAATTAAAACTTCTGATACGGTACATTACCTGCAGTCACATAAATAACTAGAATCCCACATTGAATAGGTGGAGGGACCAGTGCGATGGAGAGAAAGAAGCATCCGAAGGACACTCTCCAAAAGGAGATCTTCAGAGTCGAAGATCATATGTGGGAGATTGTTGGAAAAGTGATGATGGGAAGAAGGAGACAAGGAATAAAAGGCCAATCGAATTACAATTCAAACCAAATGGGTAAGGGAGAAAGGGAAAAAATCAAGAAGTGGATTAAGAGGAGGAAATATGGGAAATGGATTTAATGGAAAGAAGCATTAAAAACAATGAAGCAATCCACAACATGCACTGGACAGAGAAGGCCGTCTGGATCCCACCATGAAGAAATGTGGAAGATGGTAAGAAGCCAGTAATGCAGAGATTTTATTCTCTGTGTAAATTCAAGACAGCTTAGTCTGCTATGTGATCATTAGCCAGATCAAGTGATATGTCCACTTCCTTCCATATCTTTGGTTCATTTTTTCAAGTTCAGTAGCCAGCCCTACATAGCTTTTTTATTTAGTGATAATTTTTTTCCTAATACTTGTTAATATTAACTTTTGATCCAAGCTATATTCATTGGAACTAAAAATCAACCCATTAATGAATATAGGTAATTAAATATACTGTTCTTAGGTTTTTACTTAATTATAAACACACATTAGTAATAACTCTGCAAATCTGGTGCGGGGTAAAGGGCCAGATAAATCCAACCACTTAACATTTTCACATAGGCACTAGTTACAGGAAATGTAAATTGAGCCTTAATGTCAAGAAAGCAGAAAAGCCTTTCCCACAACCAGTATGTATTTCAAGTTAATTCCAAACTAATAATATGATGGGAGAATAAAAGCACTCAAACCTAGCGTCACACAAAAAATGTGTAAATTAGTTGACTAGTTCACATCAGTGAACAGAAAACAATAATAGGTATGCTCCTAAGAATCCAATATATATTCTGTGACTGCCACTTGCAGCCATATCACATTTATAGTTACAATAAATAAAAGGCTAGTGATAACTGTCAAACTTTCACATGTCAGATTAACAGTAATACACCATGTTTTGTGACTGATGATTATCTACTTAAAATAAACATTAGTACACACATCAACACATGGTTACTTCTAACAGACTAATTTTTTGAGACAAGTTTTCCACCCAGAAGCAGCAAATATGTAAAAAATCTAAAAGCATAGTGCTCAAGAGTTTGTTATAAGCTTTGCGAGCAGTCTATTGCACAAATTACACTGTCATTTACATTAGGCATCAGAATGGGTAGTGGATGTGAAGGCTGAAATTCCACAAGTTCCGAAAACTTCTTGGTAAGAAAGAAAATTAATGATTACTTAATCGTAATAATGTACAGATAAGCTACTGCAAAACTTAGTTTCAAATATATGTAATTAAAATGTTTACTTACAAAAACAGCATTAGGTTTTCTTTATCAAGATTTCTCTATAAAATATAATTTTATAGGAAATACTAACACTCATTCCATTTAAGAAATACCACCATGTCTCAAACACCTGGGTGGAATTAAAAAGTACCAAATGTCTCAAACCCCAGGGTGTAATTAAGAAATACCATCATGTTTCAAACCAAAAAGGGTGAAATTCAGAAATACCATCATGTCTCAAACCCCAAACGGATGAAATTAAGAAATACCATCATGTCTCAAACCCCAAAAGGGTGAAATTAAGAAATACTATCATGTCTCAAACCCCAAATGGGTGAAATTAAGAAATACCAACTGTCTAAAACCTCAAAAGGGTGGGATGTTCCTATCACTTTGTATATGTAGATGCCTCAACAAACACTAGAACAACTAGGCACAACTTTTGTACTAAAGTAAGTTTATGGTAATGCCCATAGTAGTATGAAGTTTTTAGTACACTGAAAAATAAAAGGTATAAACAGCAGTGAAAGCTACAATTTTGATTAGGATAAATGCTTACAATGTGATCATAAGCATTGATTTCACCGAGGGAAATTAAAATTAGTCTTGATATGTTATTCTGTAACAGTTGTCTTCAAACAAAAAAACCAGGTCAACTCGCATGATCCATTGTTTGGAAGGCAGATAATACAAATGTTATGGACATTCACAGATCAATGGAAGGCAGATGATACAAATGTTATGGACATTCACAGATCAATGGCAAAACATGTTAACTATGCAAATGAAATAAGAAATATTTTATATAGAAACTGAAGTGTTATATGTGCTATATGGTTATATGGTATAATGTTTAGAATAACAAACATGCATAGATAGAAGTTAAAGGAAATACAAAACAAATATAAACAACAGAGTTCACATGTTTGTGTAATTGCATGTATATTATTTTATTGTGTCTATATATTAACAGTATCAGCTTTATAGATGCATACAGAGTTATGAAAAAACAGATCACCTGCAGTTTAAGAGTCACAATTTTGATTAAATAGTGTGGGACCTAATGACTTATTTGAAGGTGGTATTTATAAAAATTTTCTACTTATATATACATATATATATTTTCACAACATTAATGATAATATTCTCTAAGAATAAGATTCTTCATTGAATTTTAAATTTCAGCAATTACTCTAAAAATATCAACTTGCTTAAGAGGTAACAAGAGTCAATGCCATCATGACTACAGCTAATAATGCTGAAAAGTCCAGTTAGTGTAAGAGTGATTTTAAATCATCTGTTCTTTTGTTTAATATAATTTTTTCTACCTGAAGATCACAAATCCACATCTCTTACATTTATATATACATATTAACTGTTCATACTCATGATCTTATTTTAATTATTAGTTGGTTTTTTTCCATCTTTTATACCTAAAAATGTCATCAAAACAAATGTCCTAGCTATCTTTCAGAACCCAGTAATTTTCAATAAAACATCAAAGCATCCCAAACTTTGTAACTACTTACTAGTGGTGAGTGTTGAGACTAGAATATTTCAATTTGAAATAAAAATATTTGAAATTTTTCTATTTTAGAACATAAACAGTGTTCAGTCAGTTTTTTAAGTTGAATATTTGCAGATCATAAGAGGGCATTTCCATTTGTATGTGTCTGATAACTCTGACATGAAGCAAAATGCAAAGCTTACATACATCAGGTGATGGAAAGTAGATAAGAAAAATATAATAATACGAACTGGACTTGGCAGCACCATAACCTGAACAAAAAAAAAAATTGTCCAATGATCATACAGTAAGTTGACACTGATATAATAAGGGCTCAAATGGAAAGCTGTTGGAAGAAATTATTATTAGCATTAACAATGAAAAAATATGCTTATAAAGTGCAATAAAACTGAAAAATGCATATTACAAAATGTCAGTGGGTTACATATCATCAGACTGCTATTAACCTTTTCATAAGGTATTTCTGATGAAATACAAATGTAAAACTAAATTTGATTAGAACACTTATAATTTATCGTTAAAATTGAGAACACTGACGTAACAATTACTGTATTACACATAATTGTGTACATGGCTTTAGTTCTGGAGTTTTTATTTTATATTGATTTTTTGTACATTTCAATTTATACTGAAGGAAGTACGGAAATACTAGATATACTTACACAGGGTTCCCGAAGTACTCTATTTCAAGAGTAAATCAAACCAAAATTAAGAGTAACAAATATTTTTATTTCTTGCTTTTGAATTTCATGTCATGCTGTGTTGTAGCTTACACATTGTATAATTCCTCTTGTGATTCATGGCATATGCATGTTTTACTGATGTCATGGCATTAAAAATTGCAACATTAAGCATTTCTTACGTAAAGCCATTTTAGTGTCTACTGACAGATGACACACTACTGTGTGAGTGGTTACAACAAGTGACTCCTCCAGGTGGCCTTTGGCTCCCTTTGGAGGAAATAACATATGATACAGACATTTTCTTAAATATATAAATAACTTGTTTTGTCATATTCTTATCTGTGAATGTCCATACTGTTTTTGTTAAATAAGGCACACCACAAGTCACAGGAGCTTATCTATTGTCCTGAAGATTGTCACAGGAAAGCAAGTCAAGAATCTGTTGTTTCACAAAACAAAAGTATTATATTTTTTATCAGGTTGAGCATGCTTAAACTAATCAAGAATCTGGTTAGCATTTTCACTCTGACATGCATGTTTTAAGTGATTTTATCAACATGTTGGTATCTCTCTAATCAAGCAAAGAAATCCGGCAATATGTAATCTTTGAACAATGGGTACATTTAAAAGGAGATATTTTTTTGTACTAACTCTTAATAAACTAATATATCTCTAAACTAACATAAACAAATATCTTACAGTTAAAACAATTGGGTTAAATAATGGTATACAGCCATTTTTCTTCTATGAAGAATACATATTTTATGAATAGTGAATTAAAGTATCTTAACTACTATGTAAGAAGCTCCAGCACCTGAATTTCAGACTAATGCACAATTCTAATTGTTAGATTTCAAACTTTTTAGCAATTCCATTGGGTTTGTGCAAGCTCATCATAATTCATATGGTATGAAAGGTTTCACAGTTAGATTATGATATACTGTACTTACCTTATGATCTAACAAAATGTTTTAAACTTACCATTTTTACTGACTCAATGGGAAAATATATGCCACACATTTTCTGTCAGTCTCATGATGCTGTTAAATTATGTATAATATAATAAATTGATTAGTCATGTTAGATGTACAATTAATTCCTTGTAAAACTTGTATTAACTGCACATGATAAAATAAAGTTTATAACTAAATAACTGTGATGTCTCATTAGAATTCTGTTTGATGATCTAAACCAGCTGACACTACATGAGAGCATGTCAAACATTCTCAGACAGGACCAAAGGAACTTCTTTTATAGAGTTATGAGTAAATATGCAATTCATTGGATTATTTTTGAGCATAAAATTGACAGTATGAGGTCTACTATCAGGTGCTATAGGCCACATATTGGACTAGGTGCTCTTTTTAAAATTTGACACTTATTGTTATGGTGTAACGGTATCAAACTGTTGAAAAGAAAGAAAAAAAAAAGGAGAAATATCCCAACTGTTGGGCTATATATTGGAGTCTTCAGTCTACATATACTGGGTATGTATATATGATACAGTTAAAATTACCTTCTTACTCTTAGACAACGTGCAAACAGAGTAGAGATTTTCAGATTTTGTCTATGTACTATCTATCAGTAACGCTGCCGGTGCCATTTAAGTCTTTAATTACTAGTAGTAACAGCAACAATGTTCAAAAACTGGTTGATAATATTAATTATACACTATCAGTGGCTCAGTCAATTACTCATTAATTCTGCGCTACTTAAAACTGGTCAGTACTCAGCTTACCTCTCACTGTTCTAACTTATAATATTTCCCTGCCATGTATATGCATTTTTTATTCAATTCAATTCCATACTACTTCCCCCCCCCCTGAAAAGAATTTCTGTGGGCGCCCATGTTCCCTGCAAAATCATTATAGTGCACAGCCTCACAGTTGTAAATTACTCAACTTCTATAGATATAATACAAAAAAGTTAATAGAATAATACTTACGAAATTGCGAAACTAATAGTTCTATAAATTATAATGCTTCATACATATTTTACTTTATTGGAAACTTTGGTTGGTATAATTAAAATTCAGTCTGCAAACTGCAACATCCGCCCTCTCACAACGAAAATGACAAAGTGTTAGTAATCAGAAAATACGTTTGAAAATCATCAAAATTGTAAATGTTATCTAGCAATATTGAAGTTACCTGTAATAGATTGAAGTTCATTTGTTTGTTGAATTTTGTTCAAAACTATTCGGAAGCTATTTGCGCTAGCCGTCCCTAATTTTGAAGTAAGAGATTGGAGGGAATGCTGCTTGTTAATACTGTTACATCTCCGGTCGTTAGTTGATTTTCCGTAACTTCGTTCCGACGAAACTTTAGCGACACAAGTCCTTTCTTAATAAAACTGGTTTATTCTTCTCTTTTCCTTTATCGTCACAATATATTGCTCCCATGGCTGAAAGGGTGAGCATGCTCAATTACGGGATTTTATCCCGCAGTTAGCAGACTGTGAATCGAGCGTCATAACCAAGATCATATCAGGGCCTTAGAATGAATGATGTAGAAAAGTTACTTCTTAATTAAGAGATGATCCAGTTTGCGAAATAATGTATATTATAATATGTATGTTTCTCTCTTAACGCCAATATGTATGTTTTATTTTTTGTTCCTAAGAATAAATATACACAAAGAGCTATCTGTGCAGAATAAAGCGCAGCGCAATGAAATTCTCTTCTTTCATAGGAGTCTTACTAGAGTTCTTGAGCGAATTTTAAAGAATGAGACCATCATAGCGTCTTCATCTGAATTTCCTTTTAGTTCCTTGCCAAGATCATATTTCCTGTTTTATTTTATTTAGATTCTTTTTTGCACTGAGTGGCATTGATCGCAATTACTTAGTCTGCGAGATTGCAGTTATATATTATGTTATCTAGCGCTGCATTACCCAAAAACATTTTATTTTATTCTATTGAATTCCGATGAAAATTCCATCATTACTGCAATGAGCCAATTTCATGCTTAATCTTACCGAAATTGGGATGTTTAATCTTTTTTTTGGTATTCATTGTAAATATTTCTCCCACCCTGTACTTATGGATAAGATATTTTTTATTTTAAAATTCATATATCATCTCTGTTCACAATGAGGGCAAGTTTTAACTCTGGGTTTCATGTGCCTAGCTTTCCTAGTATGACGCCACAAAGAGGGCATAGTAAGTTTTAAGTCTTGTCGTAATTTCTTTTTCACATATTTAGCCAATTTTCCTGATTTTATTCTATTCTCTCTGAGTCTAACCTACGCTGATTACGCTTAAATAAGTTAAAAGTAAGGAAGGATTAGAAACATATTGAACAAGAGGAAAACACCTCAGGTGAGGATTCGCCAACAGAGTAAATGGGCACAGTCCAAACCTTTTAGATCTAAAATGTTCATGTTATTTTTTTATTAGGATGTATAGATATAAAATTTCATATATCACTATAACAAAATACAAGGGATATCAAAAATTAATCTACTGCCAGAGGTGTTCTCCATAATTACCATGACATTTATTTCTTACTAAGTACTACTGGTCCCATTGTGCCCAATAGTTCTTTGCCACAGGGCTTAAGCCAGACACCTTCTCCCAAGCAGGGCGCAAAACACTTGCTTGTAGAAAGTCAATTATTGGCTTCAAATCTTGGTCTTTCTCCTGCTCTGTTTATATCTATACCTGGTTCCACTTCAACATCATCAACTCCTTCAGTCACTTTGACTTCAGCTTGATGGCACCTGGTTAGTCCAACCACTCTTTTAACAC